AAAAACATAAATAGAATTACTATAATCATTATATAAAGTACTGATGAGTACAGGAAATTGCTATCAAGAAGCCAGTTATTGTTATTACAGTGGACATCATCGATATACTGTATACATCTAACGAAGCCAAGCATTTGATTTTTCACACATCAACAATTATATTTTGCGTATCAACAGCGAAGCTAATTAAAATTAGAACCTCATCTTCGAAACCTTAAATGCCTTAAGGCTTCAACTATCTACAGACAGGAAGTTGACGTTTTATCTACCTTTAAAATCTCTCGCTGTATAGATTATAGTCGACTGGTACGTTTTTATGAGGCTGAGTTTTTTTTTTTTTTTTATAAATACATTTCGTTCTAACCGGTATAACGATAGTCCAATAGTTAATACAGAAAATAAACATTAAGTAAGTGAAGAAGGTCATTATACTGAAGAAATTGCGTATTACTTTTACATCAAGTATTATTCAGGTAATTAGTAGAAAGGAACGATGTTTGGCTGTCATTATTGCCTCTCACTAAATCGTTAAAATGATTGCTATTAATCATAAAAGTTATTTTATATTGTTATTGAATATTTAATTTCCGTTGACTGTCATAGAATATATTACACTAAAAAAATATACACATAATTTTTTTATTACATAATAATAATGATATATATAACTGACAATTTTTAATGAATTAAAGAAAACATTTTAATCACTCTTATAACAGATAATTTATTCTATTAACTTGACTAAAATTTAATAACATTTGTATAACTTTATTAAACAAAATTAATACTGAAATTTTGAAAATATTATATCTTGTTTTCTGAAGAAATCTTATCCTTTGAATGTCCTAGAATTATCGCTTTTTATTTTATTCTTTTCATCATCCGAAAGCTCAGCCATCTCCTCTTGTTCCTTTGAAGATTCTGACTGAAAGAACGAATTATTTTGAAATTTCGATTGCATTTCAGAAGAATTGTGAAGAACTTCAGGAGCATCTTTGATGGGTGTGGAATGATATTTTATTTCTTGTGGATCAACGTTATCGTCCGATTGTAAAAATTTATTTGAATCTTTACATTCAATTGAACTTGTCATTTCTTTTTTTCTTTCACTGTCTTCGGTAATTTCTGATATTGAATCTTCAGTAACATCAGTTTGTTTTTTCTCTTGATTATGCAATGCATTAACGTCGGATGCCCAAGATTCTTCTTTCCAATTTTCTTCCGGTTGAAATTCAAAAGATTCTAAAAATTTCGATGATTCTAATTGTTGAGAATCCGTAATTTTATTATTGTATAATTTCAATTTGTAAAGCATTTCGGTAATTGCTTTTACGTTTTCATAATTTGATGAAAGTTTAGCATACGATAAAGCTATTTTAAAATATTTAATTCCTTCTTCGATATTTTTTGCGTAAACTGTAAATATAAGTTTAATAAATAAATACCGAATAAACTATTAAAATTAATAAATATATTAAGAAATATAATTACTATAAGCTTGTGCCACTAATGCTGTGCAATTCAATTTCCAGTCTGAATTATAGCACTGTCCAGCACATCCCATGGCTTTTTTACCGAATTCAATAGCTTGTACATATTGTCCAAGTTCAATGTAGGCTCTACCTATTTCATGGTACAACCAAGTTTCTTCTATTTTCTCTTTACATAAAGGTATTTTTTGTTTCCATCTAAACAATATAAAATATAAATTTTAGTCGGTTCTAATGTATAGATACAATAAATATTTTATTTTATATACATTAAGAAAGTAAGTTAATTTTCCCACAGAAATGTCAATGTGACATTCAATTTTACTTAATTACACAAAATCTATCTTATAAATTTTTATTAAAAGTATATAAGATATGAAGAATTGCAATTTATTGAAAGATATATGGTATATAATACGAGAGCTTTAGGGAACTAATGTAAAAATAAGCATAAGTTTTTATTTACCGACATAGATCGTTCAAATTGCGCTTGTTGTTAGAGTAACTCTTCCTCTATATACAAAGATATAATCAACATAATCTCCACTACAAGCGCCATCGTTAAACCCAACTCTGGTCCTCTTTGAGAAAATCAGGGGCCATATTCTTGTCACTGTCTCTGGTCTCTGGTCTCTCGCAAGCCGGTCGCTGATTGGCTAATCATTTGGATTAGCCAATCAGCGACCGGCTTGCGAGAGACCAGAGACCAGAGACAGTGACCAGAATACGGCCCCAAGTGTGTACTGTTGTACCCACTTCTTCACAGCCACTTTCACTTCGTCTGTGTCATCATTGTCGGTGGTACCTTCCACCATACAGTCCGGATCTGGCATCCTCATCCAATAAAAGACAGTCTTCGGGGACAACGATTTGATGAAAGACGAGGTAAAAGTGACCGTGAAGAAGTGGGTATAACTGAATTTTTTCAAAGAGGATTCCAGAGTTGGATTCAACGCAAATGCATCGCTGGTAATGGAGACTGTTTTGAGTAATAATTTCAAACGAATTTTCTGCAATTCTATTCATTTTAATAGAAAAAAAAATCTAAAAATGAGTTAGCAATTCTTCTATTCTGGAAAAAAAGGTCATTCAAATAAATTGAGGGAAAAACGTGCAATGACATAAAGGGAAAGAGATTGGAACTGGAAGTACAATTTTACATAATAAATTTTAGAAACATTTTCTTAGAAAATTTTTTTATAAATTTGACATAAATGTTTATAC